CCTTATCTTTTTCGCAAAGACAAGCCATGTTGGAAAACAAGCAATAAATACTGGGCTTGATTCTAGTAATACTGTATATATCAAAGTTACACCCGGAGGGGTTTTTTTGTTTGGGGGGTGGGGTGGGGTGGGTTTTTTCTTTTTAGGCTAAGCTCAGAGGAATCTGCAACTTTGGCTCTAACAGGACTCAGCACTGAAAATCAATTACCTGCTCAGGACTTCTTGCCGACTTTCAATAATTCTGGTATTTCTGAACTCTAGTTATCAACCGAAAGCATCCGTAAACCCTTAAGAAATTACCTGAGCCAGGGAAAAAAGCTGACCTTAAAAATGCCAGTTTGAATCAAAAAAAGAATACAAAAGTTTGAAACAAAAAACACTCTCTTTTACAATGTCTTGGTTTTGGAAATACTTTCAAAGCACTGCAAAGAATTAAGTATTTGCACGGGATTCAGTAGCTACTTCTGTTAAAATTGTTTCAAGGACAATTTGGTTTTTTTGCAGGAATGCAAATTTTATCTTTCGATTCAGAACTTTAATTTTTTTTACTGTGACCCATTTTCACATATAAGGTGATTGGTTCACACAAAATAAGGTATTTTTATTGTCCTACTTTAAAAGAATAGATATGACCAAGACTGTAGAATTTACTCTTAAAAGGCATCTTCTTGAATTTAGCCTTCAACCTATATGGAAACAGATACTTAAACAGAAAGTGTCCTTTAACTTGGCTAGAACACAAAGGTAAATATAAGAACTAAAAATTATGACAAAACCCCAAAGAGATCTAAGTGAGCTTGTTGAAAACTAAGTCTCCTGGCTTTTGAAATTCTGAAGCCAGAGGTTGTGATCTGAACACAATTCACCAACGGACCAACTTAATCAACACAAACCAGTAAATATCTATCTAGTTATAAAAAATTTAAGTGATGGTGTCTTAATTACAAGATCAAACACACTAACACAGCCCCAGGCCCCCAAACATACAAACATTCATTAGCAATTTAAGGCAACTTGCACAACAAGCACTACAAGTGGCATAAAAAACTTCTTTATCAATATCATACTAGCAGTTGGCATTTCTAAACCCTATTCTCCGCTAACCTAAAATTAGGTATTTTAATCTAGGGCTTGTTTTTCACCTTTGCCCCACAGGAAAAGGGGGGAAAAAAGAAAAACCAAGAAGTTATGAATAAAATATGGAAACGCACGATTTGGCCATAGTTTAGTAAATTACCAGTTTTTTTCCCCCCATTAGCTCTCCCTCCTCCTCCCCATCTAACTTCCTTTCACATGCCAATGCACACACACCACACACCTTTTTCCTATGTAATTCAGAACAATTTATAGATTATGAAGGATTTCATGATATTTTCATTACAAGAAACAGAAATGCTAACAAAGATTTTGATGGTAAACAGGAGATCAGAAATGTGGTCATCTCACACCTCAGCTGCTCAAAAATCAGCAGTGAACCTGTTTATTCTTTGTAGCCTTTCAGTGTTCTTTGGAGGTCAAAGAACTTACTAAAAAATTCCTGTGTGCCCTTTGTATAAAACAGAACCACAGTATGCTTTTTTTTTTTTCAATGAAAGTAGAAAACTCTGAGGTGACTCAATTAACTTTTAAAGTCACAGAACTAAATATTAAACTGTCATGGAAAATATCTGGTATTTTTCAGATATTTTCAGATTTGCATGACACGCTCATAGAAGGAAAAAGGCGTCAAATTATTAGCGAATTTCTCCTCATTTCCTCCAAAGTATAGTTACACAGAAAATGCTTTTAATTGGTGGTAATGACTTATAACCTTCCTTTTACTTAAAATATCGAAAAGACTACTTCATTCTGTTAAAATACAACAAACGTAATATACTTCCTCAAATCATCCTCCTTTGAAACCCCAAAAAGAGAGCAGTCTTCTATTATGACTAAATGAGTTCGTGTTTGTTATGAAAACCTAGAGCAACAACTGAAAATACCTAGCGCAACCAGTACATGAAATTCCTGAAAGGGTGATGGTGCATCAAAAGGCTAGCAACTCTGTTCTGATAGAATAATAAAAAACATCTAAAAGACTGTAAATTCAGCATTAATGGCATTTCCGGCAGGAAAACATTTCTAAAATTCCACCTCCAGTTTATTTCTTCATGACACAAACCGAAAGACCTCCTATCTAGATAGCTATCCACTGCAAATATTTCATACAAAATGGAAATCAGTCATTAGGATAAAAAGCCAGGAGAATTCATTTACTCTGCTTAGAACTTAAGCAGTTTCATTTACTTTTGAAGAAAAATATTAATAAGTATAAAAGCAGGGGAAAAAAAGTCCCCACCATTTCAAAGGTAAACTTTATTTTTTTTCTATTCTGGTAATTCTATTGTAAGCATGTTAAATTACAAGAGATAATGAACATAAATTGTAAAACACTACAAAATGCTCATTATTACACTGAAAAATAAAACATCCCACAACAGTCTAATGTTTCGTGTATTTTCTAAGCCCTATCAAACTCCCCAAAGCCCCATTGTGTTTTCAACAAAAAGGAAATATTTGTAGCACTAAAATGGACTGATGTAAAATATTAAAGCCAGCCTGGTCTAAATGGAATGTTCAATAACATTCTTTTAAATGGTTCTGACCAATTGAGGAAATGAGACTATGAATGGGAAATTTGATTAAGAGTTAAAATTACCATTGAGTTCTTTAAAATGTACTAATGAATAATTAATAGCAAATGCAGTTCCTAGGCTTCCCTTACAACATTCTCAAGTAGAACTGAAAGTAATGTCTGCACTAAAATCGATCATCTACATGTTATGCACAGGTGGGTACAGGAAGTACACACACGTTGAAAGACATTATGAAAATATATGCCCTTAATATGGGCTATAAGATAGATGTAAATTGGGTAAAAAAAAATCAGCATCGTAAATTTTAGATCAGGATTTACAACGTTCATACATCAATATGAAAAGAAATCTTTGCTTAAAAAGCTTAAAAAGTCAAAAGCCTTAAAGAAATCCTTTGTTCCTATGATACTGTCTTCCACCCTGGATGGATTCCAGCCTCCTCCTTTGTGACACGGGATTTTATTGATCTCAAACATGTTCACATTCAGAAATTATTCTCCAAAGACATCCCAGGGGAATGCCAACCACCCAGATACCACACATCACATACATCTTAAAAAAGGACAAGAGCTTTTAAAACATACCACTATTTGGTCAGCAACATCAAGTGAAATTAACCAGGCTCTCTGCTAAACCGACTTTTCCCTTAACTGGTAAAAATACCAGATCTACTGAATTGGCAGTAAATGTCTGATGAGTTTATAAGTACACGAAGGTGCAGATTAACCCCCAAATCTCTCTCCTTCCGTAGCTCCTCATTCATTCCACAACTGAGCGCCTAAATGACCTATTTTCAGGTTACTTTCCTCACACCTGCCCGGTCACTGTCCTGATTGAGAAACTTCTTGCTGAAGCAATTAATTTTTAGTGCCTCCTAACTGTCCCGGGTGTTTGCATTCAATTTGAAATCTGTTACTTGTTAGACACTGTTCGGTCCTAGATCTTTCAGAGAATTGCGAGTTTATGGCGCAGAGAGGGGAGGAGGCGCTGATCTCCGAGAGCCTGCCCTTTATTCGGAAATGAGGAGATGTGAAAGGTGGAAGGCAGGGCAAATAAATAAATAAATCGGGTTTGCAGCCGGAGCGTTTGCCCGCCTGTACGAGCACCCTTTGTAATGCAGGCCTCCCGGGGCTATCGCCTGCGCTAATTGCTCCAGGGCGCTTTCCAAGTTCAAAAGTTCACCTTTTACGACCTCACAAAAGCTCCTTACACGTTACCAATAAAAACATTCCGCGGCAAACACCGAGGGGGGAAAATATCAAACAGATACAAATAAAACACCCTGCAGAGGAAGGGAGTTGGGGGCGGGGGGGGGGGGGGGGCAGGTCGTCCCGGGGGAACCGGAGGACTTGGCCCGGGCGGGGGGGGCAGGGGGAGAGCTGGAGGAAGGGCCGGGCCAGGTGAGGAATTCTCAGCGCCCGGGTCCGGGACCGCGAAAGGGAAGGGGAGAGCTGAGCAGGGAAGACGAGAGCTGAGCAGGGAAGGCGCGGACCCGGATGGGCCGCTGGGAGGGAGGGAAGAGGCAGGTGTCCCGAGCCCCCCCGGTCGGGCCAGCGAGCTGAGCCTGCACAGAAGGGGGCTGAGTACGGGCGGAGGCAGGAGCAGAGAAATGGGGTGTGGAGCAGGCACCGAAAGATCCGAAAAGGAAGCGCTGAGCCGAGAGCTAACGAACTGGGGGTCGGGGCAGAGGTGGAGGCTCGCGGTGCATACGGGGGTGGCAGGGGAAGCGCGGGACTGCAGAGTAGGAAAGCGGCTCCAGAAAGGTGAGGGCAGAGAACGACTAGGACGAGGGTGTGGCGTTCGCGGAGGGAGGGGGCACCCGCGTGGGAGGGAGCCGAGGGGACGGGGGGAGGGGAGAGGAGGGCGCTGAAGGGACCCTCCGAGGGGAGAAAGGGGAAGCTCTGAGCACAGGGGACCCGAGGGGGAGGGAAACCCCCACTGACGGGACGCGAGGTGGGGGGGCCGCCGAGGGTCCGCGCTGAAGGGACCCAGGGGATGGGGAGGGCTCAGCGCTGAGGGGACCTGGGGGGAGGGAGGAGGATTCACGCACAGGGGACGGGGGGAGGGGAGGCCTGTGCTGAAGGGACAGGGGGGAGGGGGAAACGAAGGTCCGGGTTGAAGGAACCGGGCAGGGGGAGGGTCCGCACTGAGGGGAACCGGGAAGGAGGGGGAGGGTCCACACTCAGGAGCACGGGGGAGGTGAGGGAGGGTCCGCGCTAAAGGGACCGGGGTGAAGGTCCACGCTGAGGGGACCAAGAGCCGCTGCGGCTTTCCAGAGAGTCGGCTGAGAGGAAAAGAACCCCGGGGGCAAGGGACAGGCGATCGCTTCTTCCTGGGCCCGGGTTCCGCACGCCCCTCACCCACCGTTGCGCGGCGGCGGAGGGAGCGCGGCGGGCGGCTCTAGGAACCCCGCCGAGCCCCCGCCGCCTCCCCCTCCGCTAGGCGGCCGTTCGTCCCGCTCCATGCGGTGGTGCTCAGGGCCCGCGCTCGGTTCGCTGCTCCGCCATGACCCGCGCCCTCGTCCTCGTCGTCGTCGTCCGCCGGGGGGAGGGGGCTGTCAGGGGCCGGCGGAATCCCGGCCGCGGCGCTCTCTGGGCCCCGAGCCTCCCGGCTCCGCGCCCCTCCGCGCCGCGCCCCCTCAGCACTGGCCAGCTCCCTCCCCCGACGTCACGCGCCGCTGCCACGCACGGGCCCGAGGGGCACTCTGGGAATTGAAGTCCTCCGGGCGAGGCCGGCCACGAGGGACCCCACTAATTGAAGGGGTGGGAAGAAGGATAAGCAGCCCTGAGAAGTGATGGCCAAGGCCTGTCAGTGTCTCCAACCGAGATAAGAACTTCTGATAAAAATTTAACAAAGATTACTTCAGGGCCTTCTCTTGATTTGATTTTCCCAAGATCAAAGTACCCTGCGACTCCCCGTATCCCCCCTCGTAGACAATGAGTCTTTCCTAGGGGCGGATCGGGAAGGAGCTGGGTGAGCACGTGCAATGAAGCCCAGCCCTGTGGGCGGGGCTTAGAGGGGGCGGAGCTTTGAGGTATTCACGAGGGACTTCCTCCGCGGCTTCAGGACAAATTGGACCGGAGATTAAAGGGCCGGAGTTTAACTCCAGGTGACTACGTTAGTATGCAAATGGAATCTATAAAACTCTGCTTTCCGGGGTACTCTTAAAAGCCTTTTACCTCCGGGTGGGCGGGAAAGACAACGGTTTTCTCTTCCTCCTCTTTCATTTATCCCCTGCCCAACAGAATGGAAAATAAAGCCCCAGGCCATTGATGCCATTAAAGAAACTCTCAGGCTCTTGACTCCTGGTGTCTTGAAGCCCCCCGCATGAGAAACTCTTTACCCAGCCTTGTTCGCCTTCCCTTCTCCTTGGTTATCGTATCTGTAAAATGGGGTCAGAATAGGGACGAAGTGCAATCGAAAGATCGCAAACCCCACCCTATGGCCCCCGCCCGGCCGCCTCAGTTTCCCAGAGCAAAATGCCGGCTTTTGCGGTCTCCCCTGCTCCCAACCGAGCCTAACTTCTGCAGCCACCAGGTGGCGCGCGGCCACCAGCCTCTGGGCCTGCCGGGGCATCTGCCTTGAGCGACCCTCCCAGGAAAGGACTTACCCTTGCTGTCACCCTAGGTCTAACTAAGCCCTGCCTGACCTGCTTGAAGACAAGGAACAAGAACTCTTGCTTTGCCCGCCTCTCCCCTGCCGGGTCATGCCACAGCTTCCTCATGGTTGCCCCTTCCTCACCACCCCTGAATCCCACCCTACCAATCCAGTGGCTCATCTCTCATTCCCCACTTATCCTGACATTCACACCCCTTCCTGGTCTGAGCCCTGCCCACATTTCTCATCACACCCTCTTCCTCCCCTGCTACACAGGACGTTTTGCAACGCTTCCTTGCACTTTGAAGGTGTTACCTTCATTGGTCAACCTGTATTGTATCTTTAATCAGGAAAGTGCTGACCACGTTTCTGAGAGATTTACATAAACGGTATGTTGTCTAAACCTTGCACCTGCTCTATGAGGTAGCTCCAATATTGTCTCTACGATACACTGATGAAGTGACCCAGCAGTAACGGGGATTCCAAACCTAGTGCATCAGACATCAGAGCCTGAACCTCAGCTCCTTCAAGCTGGAGCTCTGGCTGGCTTCATCCAACCGACTCCCAAACTCCTATTCATCTTTTAAGATCCTGTTCAAATATATCCTCAGGGACATGTTTTTAAATACTTCCCACAAGGGGACATCTAGATCCCCTCTGTGTTCCCTTACAGCTCTGTTGAGCTAATTGCTTCCCTACTACCATTCCTCAGCCCTGAGGGGGAAAAAAAGCCTTTAGTGTGGTGTGAGGGGGAAGAGGGCAGAGGACATGGATCCTCTGGGTCATATTCTCAGCCCTGGGTTCTAAAATAGGTCAGGACATTTGGCTTTCCTAGGCCTTCCAGAATTTCCCTTTCTTTCTCTCTCTCTCTCTCTCTTTTTTTGTTTTTTTGTTTTTTGGGTTTTGGTTTTTGGGGGTGTTTTGGAAAGATTTTATTTATTTATTTTTGACAGAGATCACAAGTAGGCAGAGAGGCAGGCGGGGGGAGGGGGGGAGAGCAGGCTCCCCGCCGAGCAGAGAGCCCTATGCGGGCCGGATCCCAGGAACCCCAGTCCATGACCCAAGCCGAAGGCAGAGGCTCCCACCCACTGAGCCACCCAGATGCCCCTGGTTTTTTGGTTTTTTGACAGGACACAAGCAGGGAGAGGAGCAGGCAAAAGGAGAGGGAGAAGCAGCCTCCCCACAGAGAGGGAGAAGCCCGATCTGGGGCTCAATCCCGGAACCCTGGGATCACAACTGTAGCCAAAGGCAGATGCCTAACCAACTGAGCCATCCAGGCACCCTCAGAACTCCCCTTTCTATCTCAGTCCTCTGGAGGTAGTAAGTTCCCCTTCCCTGGACATCCAATCAGAGGTTAAGTGGCACTGCAGAAACCTGAAGGCCTGGGGTTTCAGTGGTGGACATATTCTAAGTTAACCCTCAAAGATGGGCCAAAAAGTTCACCAAATACTCAGCCCTTCGAAGCAACTCATCCTCCTCCTTCAGACTCCAGCTTTGTTGCCACTTTCTCCTAAAAGCTTTTCTAGATCTGACTAGTCAAATCCCTTTATTCACTCCCTCATTATAACCCCAGCTGCTGAGCACAGAGCCTGAACATAATAGACACTCAATAAATAATTACTAAGTGGGTGAAAGGATGAATAAAACAGATCAGACTTTTCTACTTAAAAACTGTGACCTTGGGGGGTGCCTGGGTGGCTCAGTGGGTTAAGCCGCTGCCTTCGGCTCAGGTCATGATCTCAGAGTCCTGGGATCGAGCCCCGCATCGGGGCTCTCTGCTCAGCAGGGAGCCTGCTTCCTCCTGTCTCTTTGCCCGCCTCTCTGCCTGCTTGTGATCTCTCTGTCAAATAAATAAATAAATAAAATCTTTAAAAAAAATAAAAATGAAAAAAATAACTGTGACCTTGGGCGTGTTACTTCTGAGCCTCAAAGTCCTGGTTTATAAGGCAAGGGAGAGAAAATAATGATAGTCGCTTCTTCACAAGATTGTTTTGAGAATTAACATGATGCATGCAAAGCTGATAATATAAGGCCTGGCCTAATAAATGGGACCTGTTACATTAAAGAGGATCCTAATTCCCATTCACTCCTTCTCTGAAAACGCCCCTTGGGAAAAGTCAACTACGTTGAGACTGAGAAAGGTGAGGGAAATAACAATGTGCTGAGACCTCAGCCACTGTCCTAAACATACAGAGTCCTATAAGGTAGGCAGCTACCATGTGGCCGGCACCTATGATGAAATCTTTTCCCTGCAGTGTTCCCTACCCCCCTAACAATCCTGAGAAGTCAGTACTTTACCTCAATTTACGAATGAGGAAACAGGCTCGGAAGGGCAGATGGAAAAGACTCCCATGATGTGCAGAAGTCCTAACAGAAGAGCTGGGAAGGAAAGTATGTAAGGATATGGGAGATCTTCAGGGGAGTTGTCCTGAGGCCAGAGGCAGACAGAGGAACGGGACAAAACAGGGAGACAGTTAAGAGCAAAGCAGGTTTAAAAAAAAAAAAGAAAAAGAAAAGAACAAAGCAGGTTTGAGACCCATCATGGGTGGTGTAGTGAGACACTAATCAGATCAAATAACCATACAAACCCACAAGTGCTCATAAGTTCTACAACTGACAACATACCTAGAAGTTCCTGGTGCTGCGGGAATGTGTGACAGGGTTCATTTCGGTCAGGGGTGATGATCAGGGAGGCTTTCTGGGATAAGGAACATTGAAATAAGGTGGAAAGAATGAGTAGGAGTAAGTGAGATTGAGCAGAGAGACAGTTTCAGGAGAAAGGAACAGCATATGCAAAGGTCCCACGGCCAAGTGGGAACTGAGAATCCATTGTAACTGGAGCCTGCTGAGGGAAAGAGGGGCTGGAGAGAATGGTGAAAAGAAGGAAAGCAGAGACCGTGGGGCCCTCTTATGGAGCAGCCAGCAGAGGGCAGAGTTTGGGGCAACAGTGGACTTTTTCTTCCAAAGCTCGCCAGAGAGCCAGAGCCAGGCTAGGAAAGAGAACCCCTGTGCTTTCAGTACATTTTGTCTATTATTTGAATAGCTAAGACATGCATTACAAAATTCCCAGATGCAAAAAAAGTATTCAACGAAAAGTAAACCTTTCTCCTTACTCTGATTCCCCAAAACTGGTTTCCCTCCTGAGCAATAACCACCATACTGGTTTATAGTGTGTCCATTCACAGATAGTCTGTGCACATAAGACCACACACCAGGGGCACCTGCGTGGCTAAGTCGGTTAAGCTTCTGCCTTTGGCTCAGGTCAGGATCCCAGAATCCTGGGATCGAACCCCCATATCAGTGGGGGGTCTGCTTCTCCCTCTTCCCCACCCCCCTGCCTCAAATAAATAAAATCTCTAAAAAACAAAACAAAACACAAAAAAGCAGCATATTCATGTTTTATACTAATCCAGCCCTGGTTTTGACACATCCCCTGATCTCTAGTCATGAAAGAAGCGAATCTGTACTGAACACTGGCCGCACGTGACTTGTCACAGCTCAGAGTCCAAGAGCACCAGACCTTGTGTTAAGCCGGTAGTTCTCAAATTATAAATCCTCTGGAGGACTTATTAAAACAGATTGCCGGGCCCCATCCCTAAAGTTTCTGCTTCCCGAGATCTGGGTTAGGGCCTGAGAACTTGCATTTCTAAGTTCCCAGGTGATGCTGAGGCTGCTGGTCCTGGGGCCACGCTGCCAGACCACTCAGCTAGCTGCTCGTGGGCAAGGTCTGTGCGCTGTTGATTTATGTCTCTCCCACAGGGAAGGCATAAAGGATGCAAGGAAACACACATATCAGCTAGAAAGTTTCATGGGGTGATAAATGCTATGAAGAAAAGGTGCAGGGGAGGGCATATGCACGAGGGGGAAGTTCTTGAGAGTAGCGGTAAGGAAGGGCATTTGCTAGGCACTCCATAAATACTTGTTGAGTGGAAAAAAAAAAAAAGGAAGGACGTTTGAGGCACAATTAAAGGTTCCTTTTTGAGCAGTTGAAGTGTACAAGGGCAGGGAAACAGACACACACAGGTGGAACTGTTTTGGCCCAGGGGAGGGTCACCCACAGAGTCAGTGTGGAGAGGAAGAGAAGGGCGTCTGGCCCCGCTGGGGTGCGCAGAGGTGGACGGTCCTGCGAAGTGACTGCGAAGCAGCCCAGGGTGAGATAATTCGGGGAATCCGAAAGAAACCCAGAGAGGAGAGGGTTTGAGAAGGAGGCATGATCCAGAGCCGTCGATTCTGAGAAGGTAAAGAGGTGCCGCCTTGGGTGCGGTACAGGAGCTCCGGGGGCCCTCCACGAGCCACCTCCCAAGTGAGATCGAAGAGCCCCGGAGCGAAGGGAGGGGCAGGGAACCTGAGGAGTGACGACAGGAGGCGGCTCCAATTGACAAGTTTTGCAGCCTGGGAACCGGAGAAATTGAGCTCTCCCTGCCGAGGATGGGGAGGAGAAAGGGTGTTTAAACGCCAGGAGGTCCTGAAGTTGAGTTAAGGGTCCACCGGCGGGATTTTGGAGGGAAGAGGAAAGAAACAAGCGGGGGGCAGGTGCTGAGCCGTGAAAAAGGCAGAGCTGGCGGGGTCTGGGTGTTGGGAGAGCTCAAAGTCTCGCCTGCCTTGGAAACACGACTCATCTGAACTTTACAACCACTCCAAAAGGAAAGCACTATTTCTCCCATTTTACAGATGAGGAAGCTGAGGCTCAAAGAGGCGAAGGGACACACCCAAGGTCTCCCATCTCACAGAGCAGGACCTCCGCCCGCGGGGGAACCACTCGCTCCGCTTATTGGCCCCGCTGCTCCTGGGGACTCGGAACAAGACCCTTTTTTGTGTCCTCGCAGGGATGCCCTTCGGAGAGCCGCCCAATGGCGAAGAGGCCCAGCAGAGACCCGGGCGGGGCGGGATGCCCCCTCCACCCTAGCTCCGCCCCTGGCGGCGCGGGAGGGGGCGCGGCGCGGGGCGGGGGGCGCGCCGCGCGGGCTTTGCTGGTTGCGCACCGAGCTCGCAGTGTGGACCGCGCTTCCCAGCGCCCGCACGCGGCTGTCCGTGTCCACCGTGCCCACCGTGCCCATCCCGCCATGGCCGCGGCCGCCCTCCTGTCCCGGCCCCGGCCCGGGCCACTGCCCCTGCTCCTGCTGCCGCCGCTGCTGCTACTGCTGTTGCTGCCGCCGCGCGCGGGCCGGGTGCGCGCTGACAGTAAGGTACGGCGCGGCCCTCTGACCCGGGCTCAGCTCCGCGGGGAGCCGGGCGCGAGGGGGCGCTGTGGCCGGGGTGCGGGCCAAGGAGGGTGTTAGGGCCGGGAGCAGAGGACCAGGAGAGGGTAGACCCGACAGGCTCAGCACGGAAGCCACTCCGGCCACGACCCAGGGAGAGGAGCGCGTGGGGCAAGAAGTGCTGGAGATGGTAGGGGTACTTGGGACCTGGGGGTCTCAGGAAAGGGCTCTGGGACCTAATCCAGTGCGGGGAGATAAGCCCTGAAAACCAAGGCCAGGAAGAGGGGAGCCTGAGATTTTGGAGGGGGCGCAGACAAGAGATGCAGTCCCCAGCCTAGGGAAAGGATTCCCAGGAGCGCTGGGCAGGGGCAGCCTGGGAATCCGGCTCAAAGTTTCCAAGGGAGACTGTCAGGTAGACTCCTGCGTAACTGCTTCCCAGGGACTCCCAGGGACTCCCAGGTTTGCACCAGAGCCTGAGACAATGCTTTCCGGCCATGCTGGGGACCCAGAGTCCCTACGCAATGAACCTAGTGGGCTAGTCACTTGCTTGGCTTCTGGTAGTCCTGCCGGGAATCTGTTGCACCCTCTGGAGGACACCGTGCTTCCAGAAGGGACCTGAAGTCTTCTCAGGTGTGGCTAAAAGGATCTGCTGTGGTGTCAAGCAGACCTGAGTTCAAATCCTCCCTCCACCTCTCGGCTGGGTGATCTTGGGCCTTTCACCCCTCCCAGTTTCTGTTTTCTCACTTTTTAATATGAGAATAATAATAGCAACCACTTCCTGCATTTGGTGATCATGCCTGTAAAATGTTTAGCACCACACCTGGTACCTAGTAGGTGCCCGATAAATCATGCTGTGATTACAGAATCTTACTAAGGGAACACTTGAGCGTGTTCTGGAAATGACCCAGTAAGGACGAGGATGGAACCGGGAATGAATGAGGGGCAGGAAGGAGGTAGGGCCCTGTTCTTGGTGCAGAGCAAAGGAGTGACTTTTTCTGATGTTGCTCCAGCCTCTATCCTGGGTAGAAGGTGAGGCTGCACTGTCCAGAGGCCAGGCAAAGAGTAGAAGCCACTAGCCACACGGTAAGTATGAGCACTGGGGACCAGCAGACCCTCATCCTAAAGATCCAACTCTGGGTATGAAAACAAGGGAGCTGCAGTCTTGACCATGTGCTCCAAGGACAAGAAAGGAATGAGTATCAGTCGTACTTTACAGGTGGGAAACTAGGGTACATAGAGAGGTGGCTAGCTTGTGAATCAAAAAACCTGGGTTCGGGCCTTTTGTTGTTCTTTGGTTGTGCGACCTTGGGCAAGTAAGTCGCGGCCTGCCTCTGGGCTTCAGCTTCCCCATCCGAAAAACAATGTCTGCCCACTTCCTTTCCACGAAGGACCTTCTTGGATTCCCTGACCTGGCTCAGGTAGGGGAACAGCAAGCAAAAAAACCCGCATGTAACCTAATCAGTGCTTTGCCCCTCCCATCCCTCTGGCTGGGAAGAGTATTTGGTCCTGGGCATCCTCTGAGCTGTGCACTGTGCGTGTAGGGCTTGTGGGGGAGGGCTTGCACTCAAAACAAAGCAAAGACAAAGAAAACCTAACACCCTGTTTATGTAGTGAGTCAGCCAAACACTTGCTAGGTTGTGCGTGTGTGTGTGTGTGTGTGTGTGTGTGTGTGTGTTTAGTTGTCCCAGGGCAAGCTGGGGCTGGTGGGGTAGGGAGGAGCACCCTAGAGCCTGGAGGACGAAGCAGCTGGGGGACACAGCACAGGCCTCCTTCAGAACCTCCCACCCCACACCACTTCAGCCAGCTGGGAAAAATAAAAATCAAGTGATGGGTGAATTTACTCCGCATTCCTCAGCACAGCCGGTCTCCTGCTGGCTCTATGGGGAGGGCTGTTTTCATAATCACCCTCTCCCTCCCCCATAACCATCCTTCCTCTCCAAGCCTGTCCGATTTGGGGGGGGCGCAGAGAACTTGGGGGAGGGAGAGAGCCCTTCAAGGGCCAACCTGGGACTTGAAATCTATCTATCTAGGGCCCTGAGGGGTTAAGTTGGCTCTCTCCTTAGGCTTCCTGCTCCTGGGAGGTCCAGTCCCCCCTCCTGCCCCATACTTTCAGGGGTACAGGGGCAGCTCAACCCCAGGACTCACCAGAGAACTCTGTGGTCTCGGGCAGCTCCTCACTCGGTGTGTTTTAATTTTATGTTTATAGCAAGGTCTCTCCTAAACAGGACTTGGAGTTTTCATCTAGGGAAGTGCTTTGTCCAGCATGGGAGTGGGAGAGGGGGTTCACAGCTTCCCTGGTATCTCTGAGGGGCTGCCCGGCTCGGAGTTTGGGATGGACAGACAGGGAACCACATGAAACCCAGGCATGGCAGCACAGACCTCTGGGAACCTGCTTTCTGCTCTATGGCCTTGGAATGAGGCTGAGAATTCCCCATGGCTACCTCAGTTTCCCCATCTGTGAAAGGTGCCTCACTTCCTCCATGCATCCAGATGTGGGAAAGGGGTCTTGGGTCATCCCTGTCACTGACCAGGGCCCCAAGGGCAGGGGGAAGGCCAAGGCTTGTGGGAACTGGGCCAGGGGAGCAGGAGGGTCTGAAGCAGCAGGTGGCGAGGTGTCGCAGGCTCGATCAGATGTTCTAGGCCAGGCTGGTCCCGGGGGCTTAGGTGTTGCTGCGCCTCCGCTCTGGGAGGTTCCGCCTGTGGGTGTAATTGAAAACAGGCTCAGGGAAGACAGAGAATACAAGTGATAGAGTCCTTCTGTACACAAAGAACATGGGGCTAGGCCAGGCCCCACAGGGTCTCTCTACAGGGAAATTCTTGCCCCAACAGTCCCGTTGACCGGGGCACCTAGAACAAAGTACTGAGAAATATCCTGTGTGCCAAGCCCCATGCCCAGCCCTTAAATCCAGAATCTTACACAACCCTGCTGCCGGTCGCCGCGTCCCCTCCATCTGACAGGCTTGAACAGTGAAGGTCAAAACAGTCAGATGGAGGAGTTTGCAGAATCCTGGGGTTCCAGGATGCTCAGCTTTCAGTGGGCATCCAAATGGCCTGGGGAACCTGAGTGCCTGAGTTATGAAGTGTGGACTAAGGCCAGGGCGTCTGCATTTTTGAAGTGCATTCCAGGTAATTCCAAGGCACATCCCCCTGTTGAGAACTTGGCAGAGATACAGAGAGCCATGGAGGTTTGTGGAGTGAGAGAGTCACTGATCAACAAAGAGGAAGTTTTGGAAGATTAAGCCAGCAGGGAGGAGGGTACTGTGTCCCTAGAAGCAGTTAATGGGGTCCGAACTCGGCCTGTGGTCATGGAATGGAGAGTCGGAGAGAGAGGTGGGGGATATTCAAGATAAAGAATTGGAAGAATATGACTGATGGCTTGTCCAGAGTACAACAGAGGCTCAGAGGCCTGGGGTGGGTGGCGGGTAGGTAGACATCAGTTGAGAAAAGAAGCCGGGTCCAGCTTTGGGTGGCTCCAGATTGGGGCCATCCAGGGAGGTGTCGAGCTGGCAGTGGGCTCTGGGGGAGGTCTTTGCCTGCAGGAGGACATGGAAACGGGCTCTCAGGGGGCTCTCAGGCCATGAGAGAAGAGGGAAGACTCCACCTCAAGGTGACACAATTTGAATCTGCTCATTTCTAGAACATTTCACAGCTTGAGCACCCCTCTTCCCACTGTGGCCAGATTTATCCATCTCAAGAAAAATCTCAAGGATCTCTTGCCATCTCATTGTACCTTGCAAGGACGTTCTTAAGCACGAGCCATCCACATTTCTGGGGTCTTTGGCAGCAGCGTGTCCTGAGTGAGGCTGTAGAGAGAGGTGGAGCGCAGCCGGTGGGAGGCTGAGGCAGGGACTGCCCTGCTTCACAGTAACTCCAGCCCTCGGGCCCAGGGCAGGATGGACCAGCCCCAGTAGACAGAGCCCCAGGCTCTCTCCTGCCCCCGCCGTGACCCACCCCCCAGGCCCTCTTTTTGTCACAGTTCAGTTGCTATTGGAGGAGCCCTCCGCTGGTGACGAAGGGTGGTCATGGGAGGAACAGCAAGTAAACCAAATTTTTGGAGTCAGGCTCTTCATAGTGACCCTGAGCGAGCCTCTAGTCTTCCCTGACGCTCAGATTTCTCTCCTTTAAGGTGGGGCTGTGAGGAGAGGAGAGAGGGAGAAATGGCTTGCGGACGTGAGGGAGGGTTTTTGGCGGCTACCTGGGCAGCAAGTACCACAGAAAGAGCGGTGACCCTGTGCCAGGTTTGGTGTCGGCTGCTCTGCGTGGTGGACTCATTTCAGCCTCAGGACAGGCTTACGAGGCAAAGACGTATCCTCCCCATCTTGCAAGGGAGGGTGCAGAGACTCAGAGAGGCCGAGGCCACGCGGGGAAATGGAAGACCTGGGGCTCAAGTCTGGGCATGGTCCGTCCCCCCACCGCCATGGTGCTTGGCTGCCTCCAGTCAAGCACCACGGGGTCCAGCAATCACGGAGGAAGGGCCTTGCCTAGGCTCCTGGCAGCTGGGGCTGGGAGCCGAGGCCCTCTGCCGACTCCTGGCCAGTGTCAGGGCCTTGGCCGCCCCCCTCAGGACGTCGCACCTCATCTGAGGAGAGAAGGAATGTTGCAGTCTGATATGGAGTCTGCAGGCCAGCTGGTGGGGGGGGCAGATGCCAGGGTGACGGGTGGGTCCCCAGGAGGAGGCCTGGCTGGCCTGGCCACACAGAACACAACCACATCTGCCCATGGGGGTGACTGGGAGTCCACAGCAGAGCTGGGAAGGGGGCCCAGGAGACTTGAAGAGAAGGCAGGCTCGAGGCATTGTCCGAGATCTAAGGAACGCGTGGGACCATAGCCTGGCTGTCAGCGTTCGCAGGCAGAGGAGGACTGCCTGGAGGAGTTGCCCAGAGTACACTCCACCCACAGAAGGCCCAGGACAAAGCGTCCAGCCATAGTTTCCTCCTTCCCCACCCTCCTCGTCCCCCAGGGGACTGCAGGTCTACCCACACCAGGCTCTAATCCCCTTGAATGGGTCATTTGATGGCTCCAGGGCTCAGATGTCTGAGGTCTCAGGACACCGCTAAGACTATCTGCCACCGCATCCACGTGGAGAAATGAACACAGAACCAACCCTTTCAGGATCATTGTTAGTAAAAATAACGGCTGTAATATAATATACAGACCACGCTGTGGACTTCTGGCACTGGACTGAACGTGTTCCTGGGCTCCCCTCTCTCAGTCCTCACACAGTCCTTTGTTGGGTAGAGAGTAGTGGTACCCTCATTTCACAGATGAGGAAACTGAGGCACAGAGAGATTAAGGAATCTACCCAAGGACACAGCTGTAGGTGCCCATGGCTGTGTGCCTCACCCCTGCCCCACACTTGCCCAGCAGTTAGTGAGTTCTCAGTAGATGTCTCTTTCCTGGGCTCCGTGCCCCAGGATTGCCTCCTCCATCCACCATCTACCCACGAAGCAGCCCAAGTGAGCTTCCCGTAATGCAGATCTGACCCTGGCTCTCCCCTGCTTTAAATCCTTCCATGACTCCCCAGGAAGAAGCCAAGATACTCAGCCAGCTTTCAGGGTCCTTCACAAGCTGGTCTCTGCCACTCCCCAGCCTAACCTCCTGCCACCCCAGGGTCCCACAAGCACCACCCAGAGCGAACCTTCTCCAGGCCCCCAGGAGCCAGGCCCTTGCTTGTCTTTACATAGCTGGTTTGCACTCCCTGGAATGCTCTTCTCCTTAGAGATGTCCCTCAAGGGGGCCCTCCCTGAGCAGTTTACTTGGGTGTCTTCCTCTGTGCTCTCCGAGCCCATCCTGCTGGCTTCTCGTATAATAGAGAAACTCAAGAATGTACCTCAGTCTATTTCTCCTACACCTCCAGCTGTCACCCAGGGTCTGACAGAGGCCAGAGGCTCAAACAGGTGTCTGACAGTTCAGAACAGAAATGGAATACTGGGGCGCCTGGGTGGCTCAGTGGGTTAAAGCCTCTGCCTTCGGCTCAGGTCATGATCTCAGGGTCCTGGGATTGAGCCCCACATCGGGCTCTCTGCTCAGCAAGGAGCCTGCTTCCCTTCCTCTCTCTCTGCCTGCCTCTCTGCCTACTTGTGATCTCTGTCTGTCAAATAAATAAATAAAATCTTTTAAAAGAAAGAAAGAAAGAAAGGAAGAGAAAGAAAGAAAGAAAGAAAGAAAGAAAGAAAGAAAGAAAGAAAGAAAGAAAGAAAGGGAATACCTATGGCCCTTCCCCAGAGGGCTCTGGGCCACTTGTGGGTGCTGGGATTGGCAGAAAGCCCAAAGGAGCCACAAACTCACCTGAGTCCTGGCGGCTTCAGTGAGAGCTGAGTAGCCATGAGGCCTGGGGGGTTTGTTGCTTGAGCCACAAAGAGCTGTGTCCCAAGAGCCTAGAGCCCAGGGTGGGCTGTGGGCTGGCTGAGCCAGCCCAGGGAGTGGCAGGAAAAGGTTGCGTTGCCCACCATCTCACAGCTGCTAACTCAGATGGTAATAGGTATAATAAACTTCAGATGGTAATAGGTATAATAAAGAAAGACAAAGCCACTAGATAAGGGGACAAAGAGTAAGGGGAGGCGGGTAGTCTGGAAAGTCTTCTCCGAGGAATTGATGGGTAAGTAACATGAGGGAATGGGCCAAGGGACTATCAGGGAGTAAGGGTATCAGGACGAGGGTCCCAAAGCTGCAAAGTTCCTGAGGCTGGAGTGGAGGGACCCAAAGGAAGGAAAGGGCACCAAGACAAGGGGTTGTGGAGAGGCTATCAGCTCACATAGGCCTTCTTTCCCAGTGTCGTGCAACCATCAACACTACTTAGTTCCAGAACATTTTCATGACTCCACAAGGAAACCCCTGTGCCCGTTAAACGGTCACTCCCCATTTTCCCCCTCCCAAGTCCTGGCAGCCATTAATCTGCCTTCTGTCTGTGGGTCCGCCTCCTCTGGATGCCAATAAATGGAATCATCCAACAGGTGGCCTTTTGTGGCTGGCTTCTGTCACTTAGCATCAGGTGGTCAAGGTTCATCCCTGTTGTAGCAGGTGTCCGTACTCCATTCCTTTTTATGACTCAGTAATATTCCATCATATGGAGAGACCAGCTTTCCTTTCTCCATCAGCTGATGGACATTTGGACTGGTTCCACCTTGTGACTATTGTGAATCACGCTGCTATGAATATCTGTATAGGAGTTTTTGTTTCAACACCTGTCTTCAGTTCTTTGGAGAATAATTCTGCCTAGCAGTAGAATTATTAGGTCCTACGGTAATTGGTAATTCTATGGGTTTTTAAAGATTTTTTGAAAATATTTTATTTCTCAGGAGGGAGACAAACCATAAGAGACTCTTAATCTCACAAAACAAACTGAGGGTTGTTGGGGGGTAGGGGGTGGGGATAGGGTGGTGGGGTTATGGACTTTGGGGAGGGTGTGTGCTATGGTGAGTGCTGTGAAGTGTGTAAGCCTGAGGATTCACAGACCTGTACCCCTGGGGCTAATAGTACATTATATGTTAATAAAAATAAGAAAAAAACAAAGATTTTATTTCTTTAGTTGATAGGGAGAGAGAGCATGAGTTGAGGGGTGCAGAGGGAGAGGGAGAAGCGGACTCCCCACTGAGCAGGAAGCGGGATGTGGAACTCGATCCCAGGACCCCGGGATCATGACCTGAGTTGAGAGCAGACATGTAACTGACTGAGCCACCCAGGTGCCCCCAAGATTTTTTTTTTTTTTTTAAGTAAGCCCTATGCCCAATGTGGAGCTTGAACTCACAACCCTGAGATGAAGAGTCGGATCCTCTATCATCTGAGCCAGCCAGGTGTCTCTGAAATGTTTCTAAAATAATCCCTACACCCAATAGTGGGACTCGAACTCACAACCCCAAGATTAAGAGTTGCACTCTCTCATTGAGCCAGCCAGGCACCCCAATTCTGCGTTTAACGTACTGAGGAACAGCCAAACTATTTTCAAGGCAAACTATTCATGTTTTCAGGTATTATTACCTTAAGGCTACTGGACTCCGTTTCCTCCAAAGGGCTCCTAGATCCTCAGCTACCTGTAACCGTGCCCACAAAGGTGGGGGTGGGGGGGGTGGGCAGCGGGTCGTGCTGGATTCTGCTGCCTGTCCCCTCTAGCTCCTCCTCTCCTCCCCTCCAGCCAGCACTGGCCTTCAGCTCACCTGAGCCCCTCTTGTAGGTGTTTGGTGACATGGACCAGGTGCGTATGACCTCGGAGGGCTCCGACTGCCGCTGCAAGTGCATCATGAGGCCGCTGAGCAAGGACGCGTGCCGCCGAGTGCGCAGCGGGCAGTCGCGGGTGGAGGACTACTATACCGTGGAGACCGTGAGCTCGGGGACCGACTGCCGCTGCTCCTGCACGGCGCCGCCCTCCTCGCTCAACCCCTGCGAGAACGAGTGGAAGATGGAGAAGCTCAAGAAGCAGGCCCCAGAGCTCCTCAAGGTAGGCTTTCTGGGGGAGGGGAGGAAGGGAACACCTCCCGGAGGAGATCCTAGCACGGGCTGGTGCCAGGCTGTCCTTCCAGTGGAAAGTCCACACCCCGGGGAGGCGCCGTCATTATCCCATTTCACAGGTGGGGAAACAGAGGCTCCCTGAGGGGAAGCCACGTCTTGCTCCGGACTATTCGCCAGTAAGTGGTGGAGGCCGCGTTCTTCGTTTAGCTCACCCTGTGCTCCAGCGTATCTGCAAAATACAGGCTTCTGTTCAGAGAGCACCTACCACCAGCCAGGCAGGCACTAGTTCTGGGGATACAGGAGGAAACCAGACAAAGTCCATGTGTTCGGTGTGGGAGACAGAAAAGAAGCAAACACAAGAGAGAATATTTTATCATCCAGTTCAGTGTTCTGTATTTTACCCAAACCTGTTCATCTGTCAGCACCTGAATACAGTATTTTAAATTGTGTAGCATTTTATTGTTTTTAATGTAATAAGAACATGTCCCCTATGCAAGCCCCACCTGCATACCAGATGTGCTAAAGCTCTTTTTACGCATGTTTTCCTCTAAATTCTCAAACCATTCTGGGACATGTGGGATCACTGTTCTCGTTTTATGGGTAAGAAAACTGAGGTCTAGAGAAGTTAGGTAACTGGCCCAAACTCTCACCTAATGGCACGTAGCCTTGGATCTATGCCATACTTTCAAGTGAATTTTATGCTTACCTTCCCCCGCCAGCCACCACCATGGGCAGATCAGAAAGAAGCAGCACCTCTGGGGAGCACAGCCCCATGCCACCGCCACCTGCAGGGCCCATGCTTGAATAGACACATGCAGCCTACATCACTGTCCCCACAGCGAGCCAGGCACTTTCACACCATTCATAACATGCCCAGCAGTGCTTGGTGGGTCTGGGATTTGAACCACATCCTGCTGTATCCAAAGCATGTGTCCTAAACCACTTTTCTCCTTTCTTTCTGTAATGGACTAGATAGTTTTGGTGTCTTTTGAGAGTATCCTCTTCTTTTATAATTTGTTCCAAACATATGAGCATCTGCTTTGCCTTTTTTGGTATCAAGAACTGTGAAATTGACTGAGATGTTACCCTACTTGTAAGCTAACAACTTGGCAGCCAATTTCATGGATGCTGGCAGAAGACACAAGCCTCCTGGGTCAGAGACAAAGGACTTTATTACTCACAGCAGCCAGAGAATCTACATTTTCTTGAGCTGATTCTCCCAGCTCCAGTTCCCATGGGGTGACTCAGTGAAGACCTGCACACACACACTGGGGTATTTTCCAAGAGTGGAGCCCCAAGCTTAGAGAATCCAAATTTTTTTATAATGGGCACTGAGCACGCCTTCTCTACTCTGGAGGGAAACACTCTCTCTGTGTTCTGAGGCTGTTGCCTATATAAAAGATGTCCTAGAACAAAAATGCTCAGTGCCTCTGTATGCAAGACATGTGAAAAACTGTCTTCAACATCTGGCTAAAAATGTTTCCTTTCTTTCTTTCTTTCCTTTTTTTTTTTTTTTTTAAAGATTTTTTAAAATTTATTCGACAGAGAGCACAAGCAGGCAGAGCAGCAGGCAGAGGGAAAGGGCGAAGCAGGGCCCTATCCCTGACCCTGGGATCATGACCCGAGGCCAAAGGCAGATGCTTAACCAACTGGGCCACCTAGGCACCCCTAAAAATGTCTTCTTTAAATTTAATTTCAGCTTTATTTTTGTAACAACTAAGTGGATACCAAAGCTCTTAAAGTTGGCATAGGGTTGAATTTTAGGCCAAGTTCCCTCTTAACTTGTCAGTACCTGGACCCCACTGTCTCTCTGGGGCCTCGCTAGGGCCCTGCAAACTCCAGGTGCTGAGGCCATAGATCAATCTTCAGTTGTAGGAACAAATCCAACTTCTGCTCAAGTCCACCTCTCAATAACTAAACTGTAAGCATACTTTACACAGGGATATGCAAAATCTTTTCCAAAATTCTGGCTAATTTCATCCTTACCACAATCCTTTGGCAAGGGAACTTACTGTTCCAGCTTTACTTGTGGAGGAATCTGAGGCCCAGAGAGGGCTTGTGACTTGCCTAAGATCTCGCAACGAGAAACTGGTAGCATTGGGATTTGAGCTCAGGAATTCTCTGCTATATCCCCTTGTCCATGGAAGGGGTCCCTAGGCAGCTCTCAGCCTGGAACCCATTGTTCCTTGGGTCTTTTCAATGCACAGAAGCCATGGTGGTTTTCATTCAGCCTTATAGGACTGGAGTGGGGTAGTGGAGGGATTGACTCATCAGGTGGTGGTATAGGAGGAAGAGAAGATATGACTGGGGCAGGTACCCGAGAACCCCAAAAGGAGAAGGGGGCAGAGGCAGTATGAGACAGGGCTGAGGCCCCTTCCACTAGATTCGGCTCCTCCTCCCTCAGCAGGAGGCGGTCTATGGGAAGCCCTCCAGGAGTGGAGGTTAAGGGAAGCCCATGGAGGAGGGTGCACACACCCATGCTATACCTTTCCCTTGTTTCTACCCCAGCCCTTTACCTCAAGCTAAGAACTCCAGCTTTGGAGTGATTTGGTCTTGATTACATGACTGTGAGTAGAATGGAGAAGATTCTAGATTCCCCTTCTTGGGGACGTTGGTGGCAGGTGCATTCTTTTCACCTTTTTACTCCTTTTCCTTCTGGACATGAACTAGACATGGCCCCAACCTTGAGGACTCTCCGATCTCTTGGGGACACAGTTCCTGACTCAGAAGATTGGTCACTGGTGCTGGGCCAAGGGATGTCTCAGGGACTGTGGGAACCCAGAGGAGGAGATAATATTAGAGCTGGGCTTTGAGGGATGGGTAGGAGTCCCCCAGGCAGAGAAGAAAGGAGGGCATTATTGGTGAGAGCAAGTGGAGTGGATGTGGCCCAGGATGGCTCCCTCCCCTCTCTCTGCTCCAGCCCCACTGGTTGCCTGCCAATTCCTCTAATACAGGGCTTCTCGAACTATCTGTGGTGAAAGACTACTTTTTTTTAAAATAAAAACCAGTACTTTGGGAAAATGCCAGAAAAATGAATTATTAGAAAAATGAAGCAAAAACAGACATGCAAAATACAAGTCCACTGTTTTACTGTTAGAGTCAACAGATAAAAATTTCTCTGTCGGGCGCCTGGGTGGCTCAGTCATTTAAGCGTCTGCCTTCAGCTCAGGTCATGATCCAGGGGTCCTGGGATGAACCCCTGAGTAGGGCTGCCCGCTCAGTGGGGAGTCTGCTTCTCCCTCTCCCTGTCTTCCCTGCTCGTGCGCGCGCTCTCTCTCTCTCTCTCTCTCTCTCTTAAATAAATAAATAAATAAAATCTTTAAAAAAAAAATGTCTCTGCCAAAGCATCTGAAAGTTTATAAAAATCCACTTTCATTTTTTGCAATTATTTTATCACAGATGAGTAACCTGTAGCTTGGACCGGTGCTGGTCTGCGGACCACACTTTGAGTAGCGTGGCCCAAACACAACATGTCTCTTCTCACCTCCAGCTCTTTGCATAAGCTGTTCCCTTGGCCTGGAATGCTCTTCTACCATATTTGCCTAATCTGTGTTGTTGCTGCAGAGCTCAGCTCCAACATAACTCCCTGCTGGCGAAGTTTACTAATCCGCATCTGCTCCTCCATAAAGTCATGATCTGGGTACCTCTCTGCTACTCTCTGTTCTTTCACAGCCAGTGGAGGACCCTGAAGGCTTCTGCCGGCCTTACTCCTCACTGTCCTTAGTGCCTGGCCCAGAGGAAACATTTGCTGAGGTCGAAGAGGGTGCAGGGGCAGACCATGGGAAGCTCGAATGCCAAGCTTAGGAAGTGCAAGGTCACGCACGAGCAGTGGGGAGCCATGACAAGTTATCTAGCAAGGGAGAGACCCAGAGTCCAACCTGTGCTTTGGAAAGCTGGTTTTGGTGGCCACGAAGGAAGCAGAGTGAAGCCGGGAGGATCCGCTATAGCCCCCATGATTGTTGATATCCATGAAGCCCTTGCTGCGTTCCCGCTCTGTGCTGAGCCCTGTCCACACACTACTGCTCCTTACCACAGCCCTACGGCCTCGTTTCACCGAGAAGGAAGCTGAACCACATAGGAGTCTATGTGCATGGTTCTCCCACTGGGCTCCCCAGAGCCTGCGGGGTACAGAGTAAGTCTTCAGAGTCCGAGCAAGGTTCCAGGGAAGCAGACAAGACTCAAGGTCCCTGCTTCCCTGAGACTTCTCCACTCCCTTTTTCCATTTTAGAGATTAATGTCTACTCCAAGAAAGGCTCTCTGGCTTAAAACAGCTTGAACACCCCTGGGAGAGTGGGAGTCAAACTGTTTTGGAAACAGCTGGCCGGGGCCAGACAGGAGCGCTGGACTGCTCAAACCCCCGAACGATGCCACATGGTGGTAGGGGGGCCATGCGAGAGGGTAGGAGGAACTGCCCTTCTCAAGAAGCCAGGGGAAGCTGATTTCCAAGCCAGCCCTTTGTGCCATGGTTTCCCTGACCCTCACTGGCATCTTGGCCATCTGGAGAGAAAGCCCCATCCTCATGTCACATGATGGAGAGTGGAAAGGGAGGGGCAGCTGCAAGGGGGAGGAGTCCGGGGCTGGGCCAGGAGGACACAGCATCTGCCACCCACCTATTTGTTATGCAAGCTCCTCCCCTTCTCTTGGCCTCAGCTTCCCCACCTGAACACTGGAAGGAACACAGTAAAGCATGATGGGAAAGAGGTTTCGGTTTATACAATCTGGGTTCTGCAGCCGGCCCCATCTAACAACTGGGTGGTTTTGGACAAGTCACTTCACCTAAGCTGCAATTTTCCATTCTACAAGATGAAGATAAAATGCATCCAGACAAGCCAGCCTGGCTGGCTCAGTGGGTAGAGCACTCAACTCTTGGTCTCGTGGGGTGGTGAGTTCGAGCCCCACGTTAGGCATAGGGATTACTCTAAAAGAAATAGTTGTTTCAATCCCTAGGTGCAGACTCTGAGGCAAGTGATTCGTGTTACAGGGATTTATTATGAAAATGTTCCCAAGAGAAGCTGGTACCAAAGTGAATGAAGTGGGGGGAGAAGGAAGCACAATAGGGTGGGGTCTCAGGCCAGGCATCAGCCTTAGCCCCAGGGTGCACTGGAGTGCAAATAAATGACAGCTCAACTGTCCCCAGTGGGGTTAGGGAGCTGGGGCTTCGGATGCCCGCCCCTGTCAGACATTGCCTAAGGACTGCCCCAGCGGGATGTACTCTCCCAGGTAGTTTGGGGACACAGTGTCTCCCTGAAGAGAGTCACAGATGCAGGCTGTTAAGAAGGAGGAACACAGAAGCCAGGTATGGGATCTGGTATGGATCCCAGGGCATCCAGACTGATCTCCTCCAGTGCCCACTACACACCTCGTGGGGTTGTCTTGAGGACAAAGTAAAACAGCTCATTACAGCCCCTCACACAGCACCTACCACATCGTAAGTGCTCAAAAGATGGCATCTGTGGCTTTTCCCATGACGATTACCAGCAAGCTGGGTCTAGTGGGTGCTGAGGGCCCACATAGGCCATTGCAAGTGGTGGGGCTCCTTTTGCAGCCTTCGTGCCTGATCCTGTTCTCTGCCCTTGCCCTGATGCTCACCCTCTCCCGGGCAGCTCCAGTCCATGGTGGACCTCCTGGAGGGCACCTTGTACAGCATGGACCTGATGAAAGTGCACGCCTATGTCCACAAGGTGGCCTCCCAGATGAACACGCTGGAAGAGGTAAGGGCTGAGCTCTCCCCAGGAGCCATGGTGGGTCAGCACGGGGCGGGGGAGGGTGCGGGTGGGTGGGGGGAACAGGGGCTGTGTCAAAAGGGGCCCTGGCCATTCTGCCTTACCCTGCTGGCTGTTGAAAACTGGACTTCAGCAAGGGAGCTGGGAGAAGGAGAGGCAGGCCTCCAGGTCTAGACTTTGGAAAAGAGATCTGACTGGGGCTCACAGGCCTACAAGAGGCTGGAAGGCTGGCTGGAGAAACTGAGGCACCAGCTGATTGTCTGAAAGGGATGTGGAGGGGGCTGGCAGGAACTTGCCATGGCCCTCAATTCACCAAGACCAGGACTCACACATGGCACAACTCCAAGGCCATTGGTCACATAGAACGCCACATAAAAGCACAGGACTGGCCAAGCCCACTGGGGCAGGGCTTAAGAGAGCATGGCTGGCCCAGGGCCCACCTGCATTGGAAGCAGAGATGCTGAGCATCTCCTGGTCAGTACAAATGTACTAGAGGTCTAGGCAGGTGGCCAGAACTGGCCCCTGAGGGCAGCAACAGAGTTGGGCCATCATGGGGGTCCAGGCTGCAGGTTCAGGGTTTGCTGGCACGCATCTTTGCTGGCACAGCCAGGCCTCCGCCTGTTTCCTACATCCGGCCCCTGCTGGGCTGCTGGGAGCCTGGGGACGTGCAGCTGCCAGGAGCGGGTGTGGGGGCTTCCTTTCCCAGCTTCCTTTCCAGAGGGAGGGGGCACCTGGGCATCCTGTGCCCCAGGGTGGGAGATTAACCCCTTACTATCCCCAAAGTTGGGGGTCACCGTGGCTTTAATTATCCAGAAAGTGTTTGGTGTGTGTGTCCTAGGGGCTAGGCCCTTGCCAGCACAGGAGTAGGGTACCAGTTGCTGGATTTCCATGGTGCTCCAGTATTTTCTGTGCACCTAGGAGATATTAGGCTCTCCTGTTGCTAGCTCTGCAATTAGCCCCCTTTGGCCCGTCCTCCTGTAATCTTGGGAAATGTTAACTCACTTCATGTAACCATGAGCCAGACGATCTGGAGAGTATGTCTGCTGCGGCTGGAACAAGTCAGAAGTGATTTCCGTAGCCACAAAGAAATGATTTTTTAATTATCTTCTGTTTTGCATTATCTGTGCTTTGCTTCTGTTCACTAAGAGATAACTCAAAAAAATTTTTTCTTTTTTTTTTTTTTTTTACTTATTGCTAAGTCTGGGTGGAGTTGGAGAAAACAGCCTCGCCCAGAAGGGACCGGCTCCCTCTGCCCAAAGGAAAAACCTCACTCATTCACTTACTAAATAAGATTTTAATAATTACGTGGTCTCTTAGCAGCACGCTTTATCCACCTGTGGCCACGGGTGCCACCACCCTGCCCCTATCCCCTTGGGCCCCGCTCAGGAGACTGGGCCGCCAAGCGTGATGCCAGAAGCTGGGGTGTCCCCTCCAGGGTGGTGGGGGGTGGTGGCGGCTGTCAGAAGGGGCTAGAAAGACCCTGGAGTCCTGCCCCCACAGAGCGTCAAGGTGAACCTGAGCCGGGAGAACGAGGTAGTGAAGGAGAGCATGCGTCACCTCAGCGAGCAGCTGAGCCGCTATGAGAATCACTCTGCCATCATGATGGGCATCAAGAAGGAACTGTCCAGCCTGGGCCTCCAACTGCTGCAGAAGGACGCAGCCCCGGTCTCGGCCACTGACCCCGCACTCGGCCCTGCTAGCAAGGCTCAGGTGAGGCCATGGCCCTGGTGATGGGGCCAGAAGGTGGGTGGGCTTAGGAACATGGCGTGCCAGGACCTCCGTCCCGAGGGCCAGCTGGATGGGGGTTCGGGGTCCCAGGACGGGGCTGAGGGTTAGCACAGCTGGAGAGTCCCTGGCAGGGTGGGGGGCGGGGCTGCGGGCAGTGCAGCGAGCACTGTTGCTGAGAGGAAGGCATCTGGTGGCCTTCTGGTTCCCATTCCCAAACTAGCGGATACAAAGGCATAGAGACGACCCTCCCTGCCTGGCCCTGGGCAACAAGGCTGGCTGCTGCAAAACCACTTCTAGCCTCCCCTAGTGTGGCTGGGTCAGGCCTGCTCAGGGTCAGGTGGGCAATGTCTTGGGGGCGCTGCAGACTGACACCACTTCACCAACCCAGTCTGGGATGCAGAATTCCTGCAGCAGACACCCACACATTCCGTGTTCAAGCTCAGCAGAGTGGGCAGGCACACTGGGCGGTGCCACCCAAGATCTATAAAACACCTTTATGCACATTTGAAAAAGGCCCTCCTCCACGCAGACAGTTGGTGAAAAGGCTGTCCCTCCGGGCAAATGAAGAGAAGCCCCCGGAGGTGGGCAAATTATCCAGTGGCTCCTTCCTATGATAGCTACACATGAGGGGGTACAGACTCAATTTCAGTACCATCCGTGCCCCTTAGGCCAGTCACCCTCATGCGGGACACAGCCGCTCCGTTCCCCACAGCAGCCTCGTGTTTTAGAGTGGGGACTCCCGGAAGCCTCTAAATCTGACTTCTAAGGTCGAAACCTGCCTTCCTCACAGACATGATCACATAGCCACCTGCAAGAGGGACGATCATGGCCTGCTGGACAGATAAGGAAGCGTAGGGTGAGGGCCTGTGGGGAGAGGGGGGCTGTGCCGGGACTGGAACCCGTGGATGCGTGACTGGCAAGGCTGAGCTCTTCCTCTCCACCTCCCGGCCCCCCTGTGCTGACATTGTGCTGATGGGGCCAACTGTGTCTGCGGCCAGGACCGCCTCGCTGCTGATAAAGCATGGAGGAAACCTGGTGCCTTGGCCCAGGGCAGACTTCCTGCTCATTCCCGTGTCTTGTCCACGGGCGTGAATGAATGCTGTTCGGGCCACAGCACGGAAGGTCTAGAGACTGTACTTGCTGTATCTCCCGGAGATTCTGCTAATCTAACTGGGCGATGTCACAGGGCCTTTGTTCTTGTGCCAAGCCAGCATTACAAGCATGTAAGAGGAAGTGAGAATAAAATTTACAGAATGTTAGAAACTTCATGCACTAAGGGCAATGGCCTTGGTGACCAACCATCCAAGTTGGCCTGGGACTAAAGGGTTTCCCAGGATGCAGGACTTTCAGTGCTGAAACTGGGAAAGTTCCAGGCACACTGAGATGGATTGGTCACCCTGCTTTGGAGCCTGAAAACCTCGCCCCTGCCCACAAAGACCCATGAACAAGAGAGACAGGGATGGGAAGCTGATCTGGTGAGCAGCTCCCTCCTTTGAGAATTAACCATTATAATCTACCCCCTGGGGATGAGTATGCAGTGGTTTGGAAATGGAACAGGAACCTAACCTATCAGGTTGGGCTTCTTTCAGCCAGGGAACTGGAGAGCTGACTGGGGAAACTGAGGCATACCCCAGTCATGGACGTAGCCACTATGGGAGGAAAGCTGTGAGTTCACAAGCACCTGAGACCTAGGGCCTAAAGCATCATGACCACTTCCAGCCCCACCCACAGACTGAGCCTCCATGACCTCCTGAACCCCCTTTCTTCCCCTGAAGTCTGAGATCTCCCTTCTCCCTCAGGACACAGCTGGAGGGAAAGGAAAAGAAAACAACAAATACGGCAACATTCAGAAGGCCCTGGCAGACAGGGGCCTCACAAAACCTCCTAAGGAGAAGCTGCTGAAGGTGGAGAAGCTGAGGAAGGAGGGCGGCAAGGGCAGACCCCCCCAGCCCACAGCCAAGCCCCGGACCCTGGCCCAGCAGCAGGCTGTGATTCGAGGCATTACCTACTATAAGGCGGGCAGGAAGGAGGCAACCGAGGCCATGGCCGGTGAGTTGGAGGAGGACTGGACCCTGGGGGTGTGGGGGCCTGTTTCTGGGTGGCTGCACCCCAAGCAGGGGACCCGGTGTCTTCTCTACAAACTGCCCCAGATTTCAGGCCTGCTGGTTACCTATCGGCGTCCGTCGCTCAACCACACAATGCGACGGTACCCCTTGTGGGGTTGTTGGGGATGAAATGATTGTATCAACGCAAAGGGCCACGAGGTTCTTCTCCGGTATTTTCGGCGGTCTCTGCCCTCACTGGACTTTTCCTTCTTCATTTAGAGATTTGCCGAAAGTCCACTATGTACGTGCCAGATCTCCCAGAGGTTCCGCCTAACACAGACTTCACAGTCCAGTGGGAAAAAAGACCCATGAGCAGGCAGCAGCCACAGGTGGGGTGGGACTCTCCAGGGGCTGGAGCCAGGCCAGGTTCTGGGACGTGTTCTGGAGCCTTCGGAGCACGTCTCATTTCCATAGAGGCCTTGGCGGGGATGCCTCCCACTTCCTATTTCCCCAAAGAGGAGCCCACAGACTCCTGTATTTTTCCTGCAGTCCGTGGGGGATCACAGTGAAGGGGAACCAAGTAATTAACCAAAAAAACCCACAAGAGACAAAAGTCCCAAGAGTACCCAAATTTCTGGGCCATCCCCACTGGTGTGGCTCCTGATTTTTCCTCTGAGACCCTCCCCAGATGCCTGCTCTCGTCTTATGTCCCAGAGAGGTGACCCAAGCCTGCTCGCCCACCCTGGGTCCTGCTGACCACCTCCTTCCATGAAGCCCTCTGCCCACCCCATGTCCAAGGGGCCAGGAGGTGGAAATGTGAGGGACCAGACTCCTTCAAGAGCCCCCCTAAATTCTTGGCCTCTCAAGGCTCAGGGGCCTCTTTCCAGATCCCCCGGTGGCAGCTGCTGGCTCTGAGTCCTGCCAGCTCCGCCTGCCCGCAGTACAGAGCCTCCGAGCCCTGGCTGGGCACTGCGGAAGAACAGCTGCAAACAGCTGGCTCTGCCAGCGAGGCCCGTGGGAACCAGGCCCTGGCCCTGGCCGGCTGCCAAAGCCAGGCCCCCCCAGAGGGTGTGTCCCATTCCCAAGAAACCCCAGGGGCTGCCCCACCATGGGACCGGCTAAACCCTATGCAAAGAGGAAGGCTGGCAGGGAGACAAAATGAGGGAAGTCAGATAATTGTCCCAGCGTCAAGGGACCTCAGCTCCGGGGGCCACACCATCCCCTTTCCTTTGTCCCTGGCATCACAGTCTTCTGTGTACTTTCACACACATTGTTGGACTTGATCCAGGTGAGGAAACAAACTCAGAGAGGTGAAGAGACGGGCTCCAGGTTTCACAGCGAGTTGCTGGGACTGGAACCCAGGTCAGCAGACTGCAAAAGCTGCCTGAGAGCCCTCCCCAGCTCTGTGCCCTGCAGTGGGGCATTGAATCTTCCTGTCTTCTTACCCAGACCCCATCCAGCCCAGCCCAGACAAGTGTGTAGGTCAGAGATGGCCCTAAACAGGTCCCACGGGAGCTGAAAAAGTCATCCTTTCAGCAAAGGCCTTGCCAGTGAGATTTGGCCGGGGGAAAGGGGGTTGGCCCAGAAACCCTCGCAATCAGAGGTAGGAGGTGAGTGAGGGGACAGAGAGATGGAGACCTGGGGTCCAGAGGTGATGGGAGGCTGACTGCATCTGTCCCTCCCTGCTTGAAGAGGCAAATGCTGTGTGAGAGGACCGATAGGCTGGGTTCCAGAGGAGAGGACCAGGAGAAAGTCTGTAAAATGGGAGCAAGGGTCTCTCCCTCCTAGAGTTGAATCTGGGGTGTGAAATAATTGGGACAAAGTATCTGACACTTAGGAGGGAAGGGGGCTCATGTTTGGCACCTCATGCTTGCCAGGACCTGTGCAAATGTTGTATACCTTTTCCTCTAATCATAGCAAGAGCCTAACATGGTGGGCCTTACAACTGTCGTTTCATAGAAGCGGAGGCTGAGGCCCACCGAGGCAGGGGACTTGGCTGAGGTCACTCAGCTGGGGGGCTTGGAGCCGGTCTGTTGACCACCAAGCCCCCCCACCACCCTCTTTTTGAGGCCTTTCACTCCTCAGGGCCTCCCCCATTCTCCCTGCCATGGCCCCAGAGCTGGGAGCCAGGTGGGCCCGGGGAGGACCCTGGGTGGCAGCACAGGATGTGAGCACAGAGTCCTCTCTCCACAGACAACGCCCTCAAGAGTGCCTCCTGGCTAGAAGACATGCCGCCCGGGGTGGAGGGCAGGCCGCCGGAGCCCGACTCCGCAGAGCGTGATGAGGCTGAGCCCAGGGCCTCAGAGGGAGCAGACTTGGCCTCCGGCACTCTCAGTTCCGAACCTGCCACCACCCCTACCCCAACTCCCACCATCCGGCCCCAGCCCACCGAGCCACCTTCACACGCAGATGTCCCAAGCCAAGGTGAGTAAGCGTCACGGGGTCCACAGAGTACAGCCCATGCGCCAGACCCAGACTGCAGCCTGGTTTTGTCTGGCCCTTGAGCTAAGAACAGTTTTACATTTTGGAAGGGTTGCGAGAAAAGAATACGGGACAGACGTATGTGGTCTGGGAAGCTTAAAATCTTCACTATCTGATCCTTTGTAAAAAGTGTGAGGAGGGGCGCCTGGGTGGCTCAGTCAGTTAAGCAACTGCCTTCGGCTCCGGTGGTGATCCTGGAGTCCCCAGATCAAGCCCCGCATCAGGCTCCCGTCTCGGTGGGGCATCTCCTTCTTCTTCCCTCTGCTTCTTCCCCTACTTGCTCTGTCTCTCTAGCTTGCTCTCTCTCTCTCTCTCTCAAATAAATAAATAAATAAAATCTTAAAAAAACGCAAGAGAGTTTGAGGACATTAATAGTCAAACAGGTAGTATTTCTTTAAAAAGATTTTATTTATTTATTTGACACAGAGAGAGACACAGCGAGAGAGGGAACACAAGCAGGGGGAGTGGGAGAGGGAGAAGCAGGCTTCCTGTTGAGCAGGGAGCCTGATATGGGACTCGATCCCAGGACCCTGAGATCATGACACTTAAAGACTGAGCCACCCAGGTGCCCCCAACAGGTAGTATTTTAAACAAATCCTTCCTAACACGTCAGCTAGAATCCCATCATCAAATCCTGCAACTATTTTCACTTCTTTATCTTTTTATGTCCATGTTTGTAGCTTTGGCGTGTGTCTTTCGGTAGAAATCTTTCCCATTAAATCATCAAGCCCAGGGGCGCCTGGGTGGCTCAGTGGGTTAAAGCCTCTGCCTTCAGCTCAGGTCATGATCTCAGGGTCCTGGGATCGAGCCCCACATCGGGCTCTCTGCTCAGCGGGGAGCCTGCCTCCCTCTCTCTCTCTGCCTGCTTCTCTGCCTACTTGTGATCTCTGTCTATCAAATAAATAAATAAGATCTTTAAGAAAAAATCATCAAGCCCATCTTTCTGGAGGGCTTCTTGCTACCTGTGATAACAAGATGTTGTTAAACCCATTCCCCACTTGGATCTGAGTGCATTCAGCTTCCAGGAAGCTTTCCTAAAGGGTCTGTCAGCGGTGTGGACAGTAGCTGCCGCTTACCTGCCTCTCACCCCCAGCCCGTTTCCAATGTCAGAAAACTGGAAATAATGTGAAGGCCTAACACCAAGGGGACTGGGGCACAGCTGTCTGGTGGCCTGGTAGAGCCTTGAAATCACATCATTAAAAGCCATTTAATGATGTGAGAAATTGCTCAGTGGGGGGAAAAAACAGGATACATAAAACTGTATATTCAGGAGAATCATGATTTTTTAAAAGTACATCTGCATGACTGCATATGCAAAGAAAAAAAAGAAACAGAAGGAAACAAAACATGTTTAAAATTTTCTTTGGATAATGACATTTTTCATTATTTTTCTTTTCCTCATTCTCCTTTGCTGAATGTTCTGTTTTCTACATTGATCAGATATTGCTTTGATCATCAGGAAAGTGGGAAAAAGGCTGCAAATATGGGGCGCTTGGGTGGCTCAGTCAGTTAAATGTCTGCCTTTGGCTCAGGTCATGGTCTAGGGTTCCTGGGATCAAGTCCCATATCAGGCTCCCTGCTCAATGGGAAGCCTGCTTCTCCCTTTCTTTCTGCCCCTCTCCCCTCCTTGTGCTCTCTCTCAAGCAAATGAATAAAATCTTAAAAAAAAAAAAAAAAAAAAGAAGGTTGCAAACAAAATATCGGGAGGGGTTTTAAGTAAGACCCGGATGATGTTCCCAGGACTTGCCCTGGCTCCGGGGCCTTTGGGGCCGAGGACCTCATGCTGCACCCCTCACTCCCCACAGGCAGAGAGGTGAGCTGTGAGGGCACCCTGCGGGCTGTGGATCCCCCCGTGAGGCACAACAGCTACGGGCGCCACGAGGGAGCCTGGATGAAGGATCCCGCTGCGAAAGATGACAGGATCTATGTCACCAACTACTACTACGGGAACAGCTTGGTGGAGTTCCGCAATCTGGAAAACTTCAAGCAAGGTTGGAGAGCCGGGAGATGGGACGAGGGTCGGGGGTGGGTGGCCTAAGAAGGGTCTCCCATGGAGACTGGGCCCTCTTGTGCCTGTGCTTTCCCGTGGTCCAGACTCCCAGCCTGGCCTAGCTCCAAACGATCAGCCACCCCCCACGAGGGGCAGCTGAGGGCACCCCCTGTGTGCTGGATCCAGGAGCAGGAATGAGGCAACAAACAAGATGAACGAGGTCCTGTCCTCAGGAGCCTAACTTACTGTCAGGAGGAGCAATACTTCGGGTTTCCTGTTCTTGAGCACTTACTATGTGCGCATCACACCGCGTGAGGCAGCTCATGGTAGCTTCTTACTTCTCTGAGGAGGGCGGGTTATCACTCTGTTTTACAGGTGAGCAGAGCCCCAGGACTTAGAGGAGGTGCAAGTCTGCGCAAGGAAGGGCAGGATTTGGGTGATCAGATCTGGGGCATGATGGGGGAGGGGTCATTTAGGCCTGACCCGCCCTCCAGAAACTCACAGTCTGATGTGAGAGGCAAAGACCTTGGGAAATAACTCCAGTGTAGTGTCTGAGGGAGAGCTTGAGGGACTGTGGGACCCAAGCCTGGATGTCCGAGACCTCCCAGAGGACGAGCTGATGTCGAGCTGAGCCCTGGAGAAAGAGCAGGAAGAAGCCATAGAAAAGGGAAAGGGCCACGTGTTCCAAGCAGAAGGCCCAGTGTGTGCCAAGGCCCGGCAATGAGAGGCAGGCTGGCCCTAGAAGGGAGGTGGGGGAAGCCTAAGGAGAGAGTAGGCTCAGGCAGACCTTAGGAGCCACATTAAAGTTTGGGTTTATCATGACAGCCATGGAGTCAGAGTATGGCCTGGAACAGCCAAAGTCCTTTCTTTGCCAGGTCAAAAGTGACTTGATGCCTGCCTCAGGTGGCTCACAGGCTGGTGTGGAGGACGCCAGTAAAAAGTGCCAAGACAAGGGTGACGGGAGGCCAGAGGAGTGGCCCTCACTCAAGCCCGGGGAGGTGGTGGAAGACTTCCTGGAAATATTGGTGGAAAGGAAAATATTGGTGGAAGGCTCTGAAAGATAAGGAGGCATTGCTGAAGCAGATAGGATGGGGAATGGCAGTCCAGACAAAAAGCCTGAGCAAAGGCCCTGAGACAAAGCTAGGGGCTGTCTAAATCCTGGCTGTGCCATTCCATAACCGGATGACCTTGAACCCTCTGATCCTGTTTCCTCCTTGGCAAAGGGGGATGCTAATAGTACCTGCCACTCTTAGGGGGTGGGGGTTGGACCCGCAGGCGGTAAGATGATCAGCCTAGCTCCAAGCCCGGAGCCTGCTCTGTATCCCCTGCCTACTGCGGTACTCGGGACCCTGGGAGGCCTGGCCCTGCCCGGGTGTGAGCAGCTGCCTTGCACACACAGGCCGCTGGAGTAACGTGTACAAGCTGCCCTACAACTGGATCGGCACGGGCCACGTGGTGTACCAGGGCGCCTTCTACTACAACCGGGCCTTCACCAAGAACATCATCAAGTACGACCTGCGGCAACGCTTCGTGGCCTCCTGGGCACTACTGCCCGACGTGGTCTACGAGGACACGACGCCCTGGAAGTGGCGCGGCCACTCGGACATCGACTTCGCCGTGGACGAGAGCGGCCTGTGGGTCATCTACCCCGCCGCGGATGACCACGACGAGGCCCAGCCCGAGGTGATCGTGCTGAGCCGCCTGGACCCCGGCGACCTGTCCACGCACCGGGAGACCACGTGGAGGACGCGGCTGCGGCGGAACTCCTACGGGAACTGCTTCCTGGTCTGCGGCATCCTGTACGCCGTGGACACCTACAACCGGAAGGAAGGCCAGGTGGCCTACGCCTTCGACACGCATACGGGCACCGATGCCCAGCCGCAGCTGCCCTTCCTCAACGAGCACGCCTTCACCACCCAGATCGACTACAACCCCAAGGAGCGCGTGCTGTACGCCTGGGACAACGGCCACCAGCTCACCTACACCCTCCACTTCGTGGTCTGAGCCGGGACCTGTGCTCACAGGAGAGGCGTGGCCGTGGCTGTGGGCGTGGCCATGGCCGTGGCTCCCCCACAGCAGCTCCTGCAGGGGGTTCCGCCAACAAATATTTATCGCGGTCCAGGCCCAAGGCAGGTGCTGGGCACGTGGGGCAGCCAGGATAAAGCTTCCTTGGCACCGGGTGGGTTAATAATCCCTTCCCCTTGCAGAGCACTATGCCAAGAGCTTCACATGCGCAAACCCATTCATTCCTCCCAGTAGCACCCTCAGAGGTAGGCATAATTAAGCCCGTTTCACAGATGAGGACACTGAGGCACAGAGACCATGTCCCTTGCCTAAATAGCCTCAGCTTGGATCAGGCAGGCCAAACCGTCCCAACAGTCCTATGTGACAGAGGAGGAGACCTGACCATGCTCCCCTACACCTCCAGGCCTCTCCCTACCCCTCTAGTTTCTCTTGTTCTCTCAATTCTGTCTCCCTTCCCCGGGACCATTCAAAAGCAGAGGCTTCAGGGACCTCCACATGAGTGTTGTTGGAGGCCCCCGAGCGGTGTACCACCCCACGCCCCCGTTCTGGGTGAATTGCTGGTGGCCCCGGGCTTCAGGTCCCTTGGCTAATGTCCCTGCTCCTTGCCTTTGGCCACCCCCCACCCCACCTCACCCTCGGTCCAACCACATTCCAAACCTCCATGGTCACCCAGCCACTGAGCAGAAACCGCACCCCGAGGAAAAATACCGGCCCCTGTTCCAAGTTCCCCTCCCTCTGTATTCATGTTTATTTTCTCTTATTCCTCCTCAGTGCTGTCATTTGTTTCTGCAGTAGCAGCTGAGAAGGCCGCAAGCAGCTGCCTGCCAGCCCTGACTCTACCAGGGTGGGAGGCTGGGCCAGGCCCCGGGGCTCCCTCTCCACCCAGAACGCCGGCTTTGGCCACACACCCGGGCCACAGGACCTCTCCTCAGCTCCCGGAGCCCTGGGGCTTGGGGTCCATGTTGTCCTTTCCTTCTGGACCTTTGAACCCACAACCTAGATGTACTCAGGGATACCTCCAGGTCTGCCATGAGCGAGACCCTAGACCCAGGGTTGGGGTGGTGCCAGGACAGAACGCATTGCCTCTTCCTTGTCAGTCCCCACCCAGTCATTTGGTGGAATGGCCCAGCCCCTTTGTTTGTTTTTGTTTTTGTTTTTGTGGAGCGAGGGGGATTGCTGGGGAGACTGAGATCTGAGCAGTTGGGTCCAGGGGAGGCATTGGACCTTACGGTTGCAGAAGAGTCCTAGAGGGTGGACGCTGGAAAGGAAGGACAAGGGGGAGTATGAACTGGGGTTTTGCAGGTTTCAGAGTTACTGGTGCCAGGACCACCCGGAGCCCAGGCCTTGGGGCTGAGGATGCACAGGTGGGCTGTCCCTGCTGGCACTGCTGGTGGCTCCCCGAGCCTCAGACCCGGACAGCCCACTGGACATAGACCTTCAAGCCAACTCCCTGTTTCACCAAAGGAGAAAGAAGCCCAGAGAGGTTTAGAGAGTAGCTTGGGGCCACACTGGGCAACAGGACACAACTGATCTTCCAGAAGGGCTTTGTATATTTCCTTTATTCTTCCGGCTTAGAGGCCACTCTGCCTGGGAAGGCCATAGACCCCCGAGCACCCAGTCCATCCCACCGCCTTTGAGGCATTGACTGCTGATCCCTACACCACCCGCTAAGCCTGCTCCCCTCATTCTGTGCCCGTGCCAGCTCCTGCGTATCTGTATATTTGAACACTCAGCTGCCACGTTAGAAAATTCAGCCGCACACCCAAGAGTAAGGAAAAGCATTTTGTGCAGAAGACATTTCTTTCAGGCATCGTCAGGTGATGTTTTGTTTAAGCTGTAACTCGCCCCTGAAATAAAGGGGAGTGGTGATAGCGGGCCACGCAAGGCCTGACTCATATTGGTGGACACATCCAGCCTCCCCCACCCAACGCCAGCGGCCTCCACTGAACGGTTCCTTCAGGGGGCTGCGTTTCCCTTGGCCCTGGGTGTGGGTTTTACAAGACTCTGTCTTTCATGATATCACAGCCTAACCATGCGAGCAGTGTTCAGACTCCTCTTGCTCATTAGTCTGAGAAAAAGGAAAAGTTAGAAAGGATTGGGAAAACAAAAGGACAAGCAAGATTGTTTTCAGGGGAAGGCGATGCTGGCTGCGCCCTCCAAACCTTCCCAAAGCCCTTCTGGTTTCAGGCCCGAGTGTGTGTGTGGGGGGGTTAGGGTAGACGGAATTATTTTCCTCACTTTACAGATAGTCGAACTGGAAGCCAGACATGGGTCACTTGTCATGAAAGCAGTTAAGTGGGGAGCCGAGTCTCAAAACCAGGTCATCTAACCATCACCACTGAGCGTCGGGTAGGCCAAGCCTGCCAGGTGCGTATTCTTGCATCATTGCAACAGGGAAGGTCTATACTCGGAATGCGCCCATTTTATAGATGAAGAAACTGAGGTGAAGGGACTTACCCAAGGTCACACAGCAACTTAGTCTGTGGCAGATCGGGGTTTCAGGGCTCGTCGGTCCATGTTGTTTGCCAACTGCATGGCACTCCAGGGGCAGCTCCGGAAGTGTAACCAGGCCACAAACTGCATCCACAAAGGACACCCAAGAAGGAGGTTGGGGTCAGCTTGTAAAGGACCTTGAATGCCAAGCTAAGGACTGCCTCCAATCACATTTGGAACAAAGTCAAGTGTAAGTTAACAGAGAAAAGTCAATTCTAAGACAACTGGAATTGATTCCATTGTCGATGGGAGCCAGGGACAGGTTTTTGTCATGGACTTTATTGCATTTGGCCACAGGTACTTCAAATAAGAAAGGACCTGGACTGGGGAGGGCCAGCGTTTCTTTCTGACCTTTGATGTGAAGGCAAAGGAAACTGTCTCTGGTGTTCTGAACACATGAAGGGGCTTCGACTGCCACCTAACCCCCTAGAGATTTCTAGCCCTTGACATTTAATTTGCTCTGTCTGCGGAGGAGAGAAGGGGGCTTTGCCTTGGGAGCAGCCCAAGGTCTTCCTGGGAATCATTTGAATGTTCCTGAAAACCTCTATGTTCCAAAGCATCATCTTCTTGACAGCGTTGGAAACCACTCTGGTGACAGGAGCACACAGCACCGGACGGCTGTGAGGGAGCCTGGGTAGGAGGTAGGGAGGCCTGGGTTGGGATCTGGCTCAGCCTCTTTCATGCTGCATGCTTGAGCAGGGTAAGGACTGACAGAGGGGACAGATGTCAACTCCATTTTGTGGCTGAAGACCTGCAGCTTAGGGAGGACTGAGGGAAGCTGAGGACCCAAGCAGCACCCTCCTAGAGCCAGAAGGCACCTTAACACACGTTCTCATTGATGCGCCCAGGAACCCCCAAGGTTGGCATTACTTTCCCTCCTGACAGGTGCTGAACCTCAAGTTCAGAGAGGTTAAGCAACCTGCTCAGGGTCCTGAATCTAGCAAGTAGTAGAGTCAAGATTTGACCCAGGTCTGTTTCTATACCAAAGCCCCAAACTCACTGTTAGGAATCTTGAGTCGTTTTTTCTCTTTTGCTTTGGCCACTGAGAACCTCAAAGTCAAATTTGAGATTACTTTTAATAATTGTACTGAGTCACCAACTGGACTCTGACTTCATTCTAGCTTTCTGCTTTAACCTTTACCCTGATCTGTTTATTTTTACTCTTGTATTTTATCTATGTTTGTAAGTTGCCACAATACCTTTTTTTGCAACAAGGTGGCATATACCCAAATAAATACATGATCAAAAACTCCATTTGAAAGTCTTGACTAAACGCTATGGTCTGCTTCCTCATCATAACACAGACATTTAATAACAAAAAGAATTGCTTTCCTGGGGGAAAGAGTATTGGGGAACTGGGGAGGTGGGCCTTGAGCATCTTAGTCTCACGTTTCCCAAACTTGTCCCTCCTGTACAGACCTTCCTCATGACTTCTGCCATTCCCCTTGACCATCTTCAATATGGTTTACTATTTCTCTTTCAGATGATTTCATTCTTTTTCTTTTTTTAAAAAGATTTTGTTTATTTATTTGACAGACAGAGATCACAAGTAGGCAGAGAAGCAGGCAGAGAGAGGAGGAGGCAGGCTCCCTGCTAAGCAGAGAGCCCGATGCGGGGCTCGATCCCAGGACCCTGGGATCATGCCCGATGCGGGGCTCGATCCCAGGACCCTGGGATCATGCCCGATGCGGGGCTCGATCCCAGGACCCTGGGATCATGCCCGATGCGGGGCTCGATCCCAGGACCCTGGGATCATGACCTGAGCTGAAGGCAGAGGCTTTAACCCACTGAGCCACCCAGGCGCCCCTGGATGATTTCATTCATTTTACTAAAATAATTGTATTTCAAAGGGAATCTTAAAAAGCTGTCAGCAAAAACAAAAATGAATTTTTAAAGGAGGAAAATTACAATAGTAAAAAGAAAGTTAGTGACCACCATGCAAGGTGGCTGGGGCGGGACACTGAAAACAAGCAGCACTACGGCTTTCTTGTGGTTATGTGCCTATGATCTCTGGCCCAGATGTTCTTCGTGTCAAAAGCAAGGTTAGCAAATGTCAGGGGTATAAACAACAAACCATCAGCGAGTGGACATTGACCTTGATATGATCAGAGGGATGAGACGGGAGGGAATGGCTTCTCCCATGTGATTCAAGGGCCTTTCTCTTGGCTTAGATAACTCTAAGGAGCTCTCAAACCACTGATGGTGACGCGGATTTAGACAAAATTCCCAAACACAAACACATACACATTCAGCTAGGCCTCCGCTCCCCAGCCTTGGCAGAGCTGGGCCCTGTCCCTGTGGCTGCTGGCAAGAACAAGGGTCCTACTTCCCCCAGGACAACCAGCCAGAAGCACAATGCTAACAGGGGTTGATGGGCCCTGTCCCGCTCACAGTGCAGACCCCGCTGGGGCTGACTCAGGCAGGCCAAACATGGCTGGGCTTTGGGGAGTCTCCATCATGGCCTCTCCACTCAGGCCGTTGGCCAACCCTAGCCCAGCCTCTTCCCCACCGCCCCATTTTCTCCAGCCTTTGCAGCACCTGTTCCCTCTGGCTGCTACACTGGTACCTGCACCTGTCCATGGCTGCCTCCTTCTGGCCATTCATGTCTCAGCTGAAATCCCACCTGCCCAGGGAAGCAGTCCCTCAAGGCTGGGTCTGAAGTTGGCCCCAGTCACACTGAGTAAGGGACAGGCGAGGCCAGGTAGGGAAAGATAGGTAGGAGACAAAGTGCCTAGGGTCACAGAAATCCCAGTGTCAAGAAATGATATAGACAAGATATTAACCAGAGAGAATGGAACATAACAAATCCACTTACTTTCATAATATTTACAAATCCGCTTGCTTGTCTTCCACATTTATAGACAAGATATATACCAAGGTCCCTGGTGAGTTTTCTGTAAAAGACTGTCCATAAAAGCCCTCAGTGGCAATCCATTTGGGACCTCTCTCACTCTAAAGAGCTCCTTCTCTTTCCTTACTCTTCTCACCTTCACTTAATAAACTTTCACTTCACTTCGCCCTTTTGTCCACAAGATTCATTCTTGGTTTCCGTGAGACAAGAACCTGCCCCACCGTGGTCTTTTGTCTCTAACCTGTGGGCACCTACATTCGTGTACTTGAGCTCCATGAAAGCAGAGCTGTTTGCACCATGTCACCCGCACCCAGGAGACTTCCAGCAAGTGGCTGCAAATGACGAAGGGTCAGAGTTCATACGGGGTCTGCTGAACAAGCCACCCTTGGCTCCAAATATGTGACCACCGGAGGGGCCCCGCTTCTTTCATTAATTTGCGTAGCATAAGTCGGGTTCCAAACAGAAATCTCTGGAATGCTATCTCGGATTGTTAAGGCTGGAAAGCAGATTGGATATTCCCAGAGGCTCCCTCCATCCTGCAGGTGGGTGAAACTGGGAAAACCCATCTTCGGGGGAAGACACCCACCTAAACACTGTTCTGCTCCACAGCTGGGCACTTACACAGCAAGGAGAGCTATAGCTTCACGGTGCTGGACATGACAGGCACTCGGCTCTGGGTCCCGATTCAGTGTTCAGGACAGCTCGGTGGCCAGCAGAGGCCGGAAG